ATTTAGTTGAATTGTTTCTGATGCTTCGCATACCCTTTTATTGGTAATTTAGTAGCTTACTGGTTTCAGAATTTTAAGACAAAGTTAAGAATTAAATGTAGGTTTTAGCTAAAATATTTGCTTATTGTCATTCCATACTCCCATCTATCCAGTGCTCTTGAATGGAATAAGGAAAATGCAGTTGTTTTTCATCATCACTCACACACAGCAAACTGTAGGTCTGTGGTATTTTCTGGTCTTGAAAATGGAAGATTATTTTGTTTTCTGTCTTCTCCAATTGCCTTTTCTCAATAGATTCCTCAGGAATGATGAAAGCAACCTTACAGTTGCTTGTGTGTGATCTTAGACTTCCTCTGAATGACTCATCTTTATGGGTACAAGTAAAGCAGAGATAGTACGGTGCTTTATGGCTTTAGCCATTTATGTTCTAGTGATAAAATGGAAGTGAATTTTTGATGATAAATCGTGCAGTAGTTTCTGGGTGCTTAGAGGAGCTCAGAGGTTTTGAGATGATACTTCAGAATGGAAATTTCCAAGAAGTTTGCATTACAGGCCTGAGGAGTACGTGATTCATAGTTTACTTCTAACATCAGAGAACAACAATTGCAATGGTGTGAGATGTATTATTACATTTACTGGACTGAAATAATCAATGCTTGGAGTAGATGTCTGGCATATTTTTGGTTGATGACTAGGGAAACTAACTTTAGCTGGCAGGTGGATTCCCTTTTCCCATGCTCTTTCCCCTAGCATAATGTTATTTATTTTGTCTTCTAGATACAGTGTGCTAAAAGAAGCATTTCTGCAGTAAAACCCTTTAGGGAAGACAACCTGTATTTGATATCTTCCCATAACAAACTTGACTGTAAATACACGCAAGAGTTCATTTATCTAACTTGCTGTATAACCATAAAAGCAGAGTTCTCAGGAGAAAAGTTTGACCTCTAAATATGCATTGGCTTTAAGGAACAAAACAGAAGTACATATATTGGCCTACTGCCCCAGTGCACGTAATTTAATAATATAACTGTTGTAAAAACTGATGGTCTGGATACAACATCAAGTGCTTGTGCACGTGCAGACCACAGAATGTCCACTCTGATTTCCAGACCAGTGAAGAAGCAAGGAGTGAATACAGCAGGAATAACTTAACTGAATATATCCATTCTGAGTTAATCAGAACTGCTGTTACTCAATTAGCTACTATATAGCAATATTCAAGTCCTTTAAATTTAAAATAAAACCTACAAAAATACAAGTTTTCAATCTTTAAAGTGACTTTGGCATTTGGAGCGATTTTGGGACTAAAGATCTGAAGTCTTTTTTTGCAAGTGAGACTTGCAGAAGATCTGCATTGCAAAGAGAATAAACCCCCTCCATAAGAACAGCCCAATATATGCAAAACTATTTTAGTATTGTTCAAAATCTGCTTAGATACTCTTCCATTAGGTATTACCAGTTCTAATTAGCAGATACATGAATAGCAGTTTTAGATTACTTAGTTGCTGAATTCAGAAATACTTTTTCTGTTGTCTGGGAAAATGAACATCACATGGCATTCTTTGTGGACAGTTACTGAAATGCTGTTCAAGAACGCATAAGTACATAATTGACAAACAGAGAAAAAAAAATGTTTAATCTGGAATAAATACAGCAAATGCCACAGATTTTCCTACATTAAAACAGGTGCTCCTTAAGAACTAAAATGTGTTAAAAAAAGACATGAAGCTATGGGAAAGCACAGAATAGAATGTACTGGCGGGGGGGGGGGGGGAGTGTCAGTGGAAAGGAACACCATGAAGTTATACGGGTCTACAGAAGCCAGGAAGCTTTGTAGAAGGTGAAGAGATGGGCAATTGAAAGTGATGAATCATGTTGTATATTTATTTTGTTATTAGACCTGTAACTAGTGGAGTGCCTCAAGGGTCAGTACTGGGACCGGTATTATTTAATATTTATTTAATATATTATTTATTATTTATTTAATATATTCATCAACGATTTAGATGAGGGAATTGAGTGTACTATCAGCAAGTTTGCTGATGACACTAAGCTGGGAGGAGTGGCTGACACGCCAGAAGGCTGTACTGCCATCCAGCGAGACCTGGACAGGCTGGAGAGTTGGGCAGGGAATAACTTGATGAAATATAACAAGGGAGAGTGTAGAGTCCTGCATCTGGGCAGGAACAACCCCAGGTTCCAGTATAGGTTGGGAAACGACCTGCTAGAGAGCAGTGTAGGGGAGAGGGACCTGGGGGTCCTAGTGGACAACAGGATGACCATGAGCCAACACTGTGCCCTTGTGACCAAGAAGGCCAATGGCATCCTGGGGTGTATTAGAAGGGGGGTGGTTAGTAGGTCGAGAGAGGTCCTCCTTCCCCTCTACTCTGCCCTGGTGAGACCCCATCTGGAATATTGTGTCCAGTTCTGGGCCCCTCAGTTCAAGAAGGACAGGGACCTGCTGGAGAGAGTCCAGCGCAGGGCAACAAAGATGATTAAGGGAGTGGAGCATCTCCCTTATGAGGAAAGACTGAGGGAGCTGGGTCTCTATAGTTTGGAGAAGAGGAGACTGAGGGGTGACCTTATTAGTGTCTATAAATATATAAAGGGGGAGTGTCACGAGGATGGAGCCAGGCTCTACTCAGTGGCAAACAATGATAGGACAAGGGGTAATGGGTACAAACTGGAACACAAGAGGTTCCACTTAAACGTGAGAAGAAACTTCCTCTCAGTGAGGGTGACGGAACACTGGAACAGGCTGCCCAGGGAGGTTGTGGAGTCTCCTTCCCTGGAGACATTCAAAACCCGCCTGGACACATTCCTGTGTAACATTATCTAGGTGTTCCTGCTCCAGCAGGGGGATTGGACTAGATGATCTTTCGAGGTCCCTTCCAATCTCTAGCATACTGTGATACTGTAATTGTCTTGCTGAATCTATGTAGAACACTGTACACATGTCCAAGAGCTCTTTTATGTAACATTAAATAGCATTTATACATACACTTGTTAACCATGTGGAGAGGATATGTAAAAGCATCAGGATTTAAAACCAGTTTTTACCTACAGTGGTCTGAAACAACTTCAGCACAATCCATATCCACAGGGTTTCCTGCATCTGTTCTTACACGTCCATTGCAGATAAGACGAAGAACTTTATTTTTGAACTCATCTAGTCAGGTATTTATGTATTCTTGTGCCTGTAGTGGATGCTGGTTCAGTAATTTGAAGTTTTATTTCAAGAAATAAGGGAAGTCTTCACTCCATGCTTTCTGTAAGAGAGAACTGAGTGAAATGCCTGTTCAGTATTGAAGCCATAGTCCAAGGATGTTTTCATTTTAACAAAGAGACCTTGAATTTTGGGCACCTCAAGAAAGATATTTATTTGTGATATTGGAGTGTGTGGTATGATCCAGATTGAGATTGAAGTGGAAGCAATGATCACAAGGGTGAGATATCTGTCAATTCAGTCTGCATCCTTCCATCCATATTTCTGAGTAGCATATACCAATGAAGAAAACCTGTCTTTTTTTTTTGCTTTGTTACTAATAATGGGTTTCAAAGCCAGACACAGATAATAGCCATGGCTTTTCACAGCTGGTGCTGTTGAAACACAGAGCAAAGATAAATAATTTTTTCTTCACTTTTTTTTTTCTTTTTTCTTTAATAATTCCATGTGTGATACTCTCTCCTTTTCTGTTTCTTAACAATCACACTAACATAAAGGTAGCCTGTTGCTGTCTCTCACAATTGATGTTTTATAGTACAGGAGCTTAAAAGACATAACACACATTTTTATATATATAGATGTGTGTGTGTGTGTGTGTGTTATGCACAAACAATCACACTCTCAATTATTCACTTATTTTTATCCTTTTTCCATCTCAAAAATCAACGTTTTGTGGTTTTAATATCCTCTGAGCATTCAAGGAGCAGCAGTAATGTAAAGCATTCAGTGAGAGACAGAGTGATGTTCCTTGCACCGTCGGGCAGGAAAAATATTGCAGCATAGGCAATATCATACTTGTTTTCATGTATGGTGGACTACATGAGCCTTGTAATTGTGTGACTTTTTCTCCTACTATATCATCTTAATACTACTTACCGCTATGTAACATTCACTTTAGAGGCAGGAAATTTGAGGCAGTTTCTTTACTGTTATAAAGAGTTAGGGACAAATAAGAAAAAAAGTTTATTTTCTTTGTAGACTTGAAAGGGGTGGGTACAGAAGATTCCCTCCTCACCTGTAGGAAGAAGTATTTACATGTGTTTCTGAGTCATGTGCTCCCTGGAAAACTGAATAATATTGACTAGCTTTAGACAAAGAGACAGTAACCTTCGTCTTTTCAGCTACAGAGCAAGATGATGCGGCAGGACATGTCCCTGTGTCAAACGCCTGCTCACCCCCTGTGGTTAGTGTCAGAACAGTTCATGAAGAGAAGCTTCTGAAATCTGGCATAGCAGTGGAGCCATGAACTTTCCTGCAGTTACTGCCAACTTGGGGTGCTGGCAGTAAGGAGAAAGCAAGGTGCTTACATTTAACAGATCTAACTGGAATGTCTGCTCGCGAGCTCAACCCACAATACCATAGGCATGAATTTCAGAAATGACAGCCAGCTGCAAATAAAGTAGAAAAGATTTCAGAGAAGGTGATTAGCTTTTTCTTTTTGCAAAATTAGCTTTGTTACTGTGTGTGCATACCTACATTAGGTGATTTGGGGCACTTCCTCTGTGAGACAACGTTAAAAAAAACAAACCCAAAGCTAGTATGACTTGAGCTTTGGTACTATGTTAATAAATACTCAAGAAAATGCAGTAAGTAATCAGATGATTATTAATACCCTGTAAGGAAGATAGGTAAGTAAAAACTTAAAGCTGTCATTAATTTCTGAGAACTGAGTGATCCCCTGGTAAGTAATCCTTCATTTCTGATTCAGGTAAGATTCTGCCACTTTAACCAAGTCCCTAACTGTGTTTTTTTTTCTTCTCCCTTTCCATGGTAGGTTATGTGTTCTGTATGTTACATCGCCTGCCTGAACAGCATGACTGCACATTTGACCACATGGGACGTGGGCGTGAGGAAGCCATTATGAAAATGGTGAAACTGGATCGGAAAGTAGGGAGATCTTGCCAACGCATTGGCGAAGGATGTTCCTGAGTGCAAGACTGCAACCAAATGCTGTTCTCTTAGTTCACTAATGTTAGCCTTATTTAGGACAAAGTCAGCCAGACACCTTGTACTAGGCAAGTTTCAGACTACAGCCAATCAGTTTCCTTTCTTTAGCCAGCTGTCCTGGTACTGTAGTTTAGGGGTTGATGGTGGTTGAAATTGATTTCTGGCTGGTTACTAAGGTGCCTGCTAGCCACCGTATAAAAATAAAACATGAAGAAATACTATTTTTGAGCATGGCTAGTGGATTTAAACAAAACAAGAAAAATCCAAAGGCTTCTGTTATTGCTGGAGTCACTCTAAAAGCCTTATGCTGGAAACATTCCAGCTGCAGAGTTAAAACAAATAGTTGTATAGAAGCTGGTGTAAAAGTTTGCTATGCACATGGCTTTCGGACAAACTGTTTAATGTGCAGCCTTTCACCTCTTCACTGCTAGTGAATCCTGAGGAGGTGAAATACTACTAGGAGCAGCAATTGCAGCTGCCTAAGCCCAGAAGACCTGACTGGTCACTCGTGCCTTCATCGCGTGTGGCTTTTGAGTTAGGCAGTGTCACCAGCATCAGGGATTCTGTTGGGGGTAGGAACATCTTTCTGGTTCTTCCCAGGAAGCCAAAAAGAAAGGGGGACAGAGATTCTTATAAAATTTTTTATATCTATCTTACTATAAATAACCTATCAGGGTTGTTTGGGGTTTTTTTTGTTTGTTTGGTTTTTTTTCTGTTTGTTTTTTTTTGGGGGGGGGGTGTTGTTTTTTTTTTTTTTTTTTGGTTTGGGGTTTTTTTTTGTTTGCTTTTTTTTTCGTGGTTTATTTTTTTGTTTGGGGGTTTTTTTGTTTGTTTTTTTTTGTTGGTGGTGGTGGTTTTTTTCTTTCTTCTCAGTTAAATTATGATCTCACTATAAAGCCAACTCCATCCCAGAGCAGTAAATGGTGCATACTTTTTACATGGCATCCACAGTGATAGTATGAGTTGTGTGAACAGATTCCACATACCTTGAGCAGTGCAGCCATTCCCACTGGCCAAAACCTGATTGGCTCTTGTTTGCCTTTTGCTAAGTGCAGGTATCTGATAATTGATCAAATAAGGCTAATTCACAGCACAGTAGCCATGGCTGGATTCTACAGACTGACTTTCTGTAGCTAGACTTATATACTGGGGGGAAAAAAAGGACATTTTGTAGCAAACAGAATTCAGTAACAGTATTGGGGAACAACCGGTAAAACATCCTTTATCAGACTGAGTTCGTGTTCCTCGCTTCCAGAGTGTCAATGAGATAATCAAGTGGGCTCCATCAGCCTTCTTTCTATGCAGCTGAACGCGCTCATGAAAATCTCTGCCCGCATCTATTGCAAAGCAAGTATAGCAAGTGAATGTGGAAAGCATTACATGGAGTAGAATGTTTTGGATTTGGTTAGACCTATGGTTCTATATTACAGTATGTCACATTGAGCTGAGCTGAACTGAATTGCACCAGTCTTGTCAGTTTGGAAACAAAAAAGCAAATACTGTCATTGGCACATCTGCTGCACACAGGGTTTATGCAGGTAAAAAGGATTTGTACTGGTGTGGCGCAGCTTAATCCTGAATGAATTCAGCTTCTCAGCCTATTAGTAAGGTGTTAACAATCAGGTAAATATGTAAGAAAACCTGAGGGAGGGAAAGATTTCATCTCATCTTCAAATCCTGGTCAGGTATAAAACATCAGAGGGGTGAAGTAATGTATCACTTGGAAAAACCCCAGAGTTTTGGGAGTAAGCTTGGATGAGTCGTCTTCCATTCTACTTGTTACAGGTAATTAACTCCTTATAGGCCAAATCAGATTGCTACTTTGGTAGCCAGCTAGGAGCATTTAACAAGGAGACAACTAATTTAAATAAAAAGATTATGTATTTGCATCTCCACACACACTCAGCATCTGACTGCATTATTGTTAATTAACCATGGAGCAAATCAGAAGTGCCCCATCATATCATTATAAAATACAAACTATCCAGATGGCAAGCTGGTTTCTTACTATTGATGTTAGTCAAGAAGATAAAACCAGCACCAAAATCTTCCCTAATGTGCTGCATTTTCAGGCAGTGGTCTTCGTGAGAGGGACTGTCCAAGGATATTATTTACATTTGCCATGAGGAGTTTAAGCAAACATGGATTTTGGAGGCTGCTGTGATAAGCACTTTCTTTTCCTACAAAATCCTACCATAGCATTTGATGGGCATTCTGATTGACACATAAGACTTTTCTGCATTAATACTGAAGATGCTATTTTGTTCCTCCTTAATACTCTCTTTAATCTCATTACAAGTGCACAGATGGTTTCAAGGTGGCTCTTGAGAGAACACTACTTAAAAGTTCATGTAAATTATGGACAATGTTCACTTTAAACAAAAAGTTGGGGAGGGGGTTGTTCCTTTGCAGTATCTGTTCTGTGAAGTTTGTTAAACGTAAAAGAAAGCTTAAGTTCTTGTATCTTGAAAGAAGATCTTATTTAACCCTTTTGTGTTCTAGATTTACTTACACATGTAGCCTAGAGCTCAGTTTTAGTTTAACGTTGTGAAAATATTAAAAGGATCTTGTAACTTTATTCTTTTTCCTCATGCTAAAAAAATTAAACCAATCAGATTAAAGTTTGAATTCCTTTCTGCCTATTCCAACAGGTCTTGCTATTTTGCACATTTTCTCCTGCAGGTTTATTTAAGAAATACAAATGGGGAAAATACGCACATTAGGTCACTAACTTCAGACTGAATTTACAGCTGATGAAGGTGGACAGTATTTTCTGCCAGTTTGGAAGAGGAAAGTAATCTTTCTGCTGGGTTCAGGTTTAGTAATTTATTTTGTAAGCTAATCTGACTAAATCTACAGTAGCCAATTTGGTCGATTTCATTTTGAGGTTAGATATAGTAATCGAATTAACTGTTTTCATTTGATGCATACTGTACACTATATCATTGGCATCAGGGTTTTAATGTCTTAAATGTTCTTTCATCCATTTTGACAACTTCATCTAGAGTAGCTATACTGCAAATCATAATGGGCTGTATTAATAATGGATAAGTAGGGGAATAACTGTTGTTTCTTAATCATTTAGATGCTAGAAATACAAGGCTCATTAAAGGACTGTATTAGAGGGAGAGAGAATATCACAGTAATTATTTAAAAACAATTTTGAAAATTGTTGGGTATTGAAATTGGGCCCTGATTCATGGGATACATGCACACTTCTTTTTTTTTCCCCTCAAATACATGTGGGATTTTCAGTTATAAAACTGTGATTCTTGAACAAGATGGCTGTGTTAAGTAAAGGTAAGTTACGTAAAACAACTGTGCCTTTGCATCAAGTTTCAGGCCTATAGCTGGGTGTGAGCCAAGGCTTCAAAAAAGAGCAAGAACTGCCATGAAGGTTGCTATGCCAGTGCCTGTCCTTACCTGCACTGGTTTCTGTTTTGAAGCAGTTTAGTGTCTTCAATGAGAACCAATGTAACTAAACTGAAGTATCTGGGAACATGAACTCCTCTTCAGTAGTGCAGAGGCAACACCGTGAGCAGAGTCCCGGTGCAATTATAGCAGTCTGAAAGTAATATTAAACTCTTTTATCTACTCCATGGAAGGTGATAAATACATTCAAAACTTGAATTTTGCATGGCTTTCTTCTCTTGGATAAACTGTAGTCTCCTGGCCTCGTGAACACAATGTCCTGTTTATATAAACTTTGTACTAGTGGTGTTTAGTTCATTCTACAATCATAGCAGTTCCTTCTGTGACTATGCTATAGCTTAGATATAAATCTCTAAAGGATAAAAGCACTTTTTTTAAAATCTTACAATAACTATTTCAGTACAAAGACTCACCAGGGAAGAAAACTGATGCTAACAGCGTCATAAAAATAGAGGTTTTATACTCAAGAAATGCACCAGTGGAATAATTGACGGCACCTATGCTCACAGTTGATGTGTACACAGTTAGGTGCCCAGACAAATGAATTAACATTCTCTTTGTTGTAGTGTAGTTACTGAAATTGTCAGTCATTAGCACAACAGCAAAGAGATGGCCTAATCAAAAGTAATCTCTTAATGTCACAATGAGATTGTGGGCAATGCATGCTGGAAATAAATTTGTATGCTCCTGAGAACTTTTGTACCTAGAAAACTAATGGCAACGTTTAGAGACAACACTACTTTACTTACAATGAACTGTATTTACTGGCAGGAGATGTTTATTTCATCACTTAAATACCTTGTTAGGATTCTGCACACAGAACAAAAAGTAATGTAAGCATGTAGAAAATCATGGTTCAACGCAAAGGCTGATGGGGCAGGATCTGCTGTATGAGAATACAGGCCCTGTGTAACCAGTTCATAATCTTATCCTTAGCTGAGACTGTACATGCTTTGCTACACGAACACACTGGAAAACTGCTAAGAAGTATTCACAATGCACACTTGACATGGTGAACTTGTGCAGGAGTGGACTGTCTCTCACTATCAGCAGCTTTTCCAGGAGAACAACCTTTAATGCTGCTGGAAAGAGTCACTCTTAAATAACAGTTATCAAATACATTAGTGATAAGGACATTCTTTTCTTTCTCTTCCTAGTCTTGATTGATTTTTCTTTCTTTGTTGAGGCAATCAGCATGTGTAACTGGGCATTTGAAAGTAGTTCCACGTGAATGTTGTTCTTTTTGGCTTTTCAGTACTCACTACAGGAAGGAAAAAAAAAAGGCATAAACTTTGTTCTTGCAAGTAGAAGTGATGACCTCGTATATTTTACTACAGTGATACACTGTTTCTTCAATTAACTGAAAATTAATGCAGACTTGATTTACTTGTTCTGGATGTTAGGCGGCTGTGGGTTGTTTGAACTTCAGTTCTGTGATATTGTTCACATACACCTTCCCATAAACTCTGCATACCTCATCTTCCAATCTGAAGTTGAGTCAGGAGGAAAGAAGGTGTGAAAGCAGAAAGCAGAGAATGCAAATTGACAAGTGCTTAGTGATCATATCCACCTTCCTCTTCAAGTCAGCTCAGATCAGATCATAAAATGGTAAAGAAAGACACAAATATTTACTTGCCAAACAGCACCAACTTTTTTGACTCCGTACTACAGAAAACTGTTTTGCTTTATCTTTGTGAATATACCTGTGTAGAGTTTGAGTCAATTCTGCAACATACGTTCCATGCAAAGAAATGAAACAGGACTGTCTAATTGGAAACCGTTTTTGATG